AATTGGGATGGGAGTGTCAGAGACAGTGCGATTGGCACAGGACAGAGTGGAGTTTAGGGCTGTTGTACATAGGGTCGCTATGAGTCGCAAGCGACTCGACAGCACATAGCAGCAACAACACTTTTCAATATTTATAGTTGCATGTTCAGTTAATAAAGGTGAAGGTGATTCTGATGAAGAATATGTTATCAAGAGGGATTAGCTCAATCATTTCAAGTGAGGCCTAATTTAAGTAGCATTAAAGAATGAGTATATTACTGAACTGTGATTAGGCACATCTTAGCCTTTAAACCGGCATCCTTGCTCTTTAGAATTTTGGAGAGGTCTTTGACAGAAGATATTTCCCCAGTGCAGCACACTTTTTTTATTTTATGACTGCTACTAGCATGGGTATTAATTATGAAGGCAAATAAATTCTTCAATTTTTTTTCTCTATCTGACATAATGTCCAGTGGTGAGGATTTTTGCTTTCTTTTTTTCCCTTTTTTTTAGACTTTATCTTAATAATTTTAATGAACATTTACAGAGATTTTGGATTTCCATTCATTCATTGCTACACTTTTCTCCCTTCCTAGCCTTTCCCCCTGCCCCCTGCTCCAGTTCACTCCTCTCTTTGAAAAGTAAAAGAAAAATTATTTCTTCATTATACAATCTCCCCGCACCCCTCCCACCGCCCCAAGTATGCTAAGTTATAATCCATATTGAAGGCTATGGTTTTGGTTTTCTTCAATAAATTCTTCAAGTCTTCTTCACTTTTCACAAGCACTTTTTGTGTCATCTGCATTATATAGGTTGTTGAAGAGTCTTCCTCCAATTCTGATGCCACATTATTCTTCATATAGTCCAGATTCTTAAATGATTTGTTCAACATACAAATTGAATAGATATGAAGAAAGGAGAGAACCAAGACATACACTTTTTCTGATTTTAAACCATACAGTATTCCCTTGCTCTGTTCTGACAACTACTTCTATATATAGATTTCACATGAACACAGTCAAGTATTATGGAATTCCCATTATTTTCAAATTTAACCATAGCTTGTTATAATGATTCACACAGACAAATGCCTTTACAAAGTCAATTTAAGACAGACTCCTTTCTGGTAGTCTCTCCTTTCAGCTAAAATCCATTTAACATTAGCAAAGATATCCCTTGTGCCATGATGTCTTCTGAATATAGCTTAAATTTATAGCTGTTCCCTGTGGATGTATTGTTACAGCCATTTTTTTAATAAAGATTTTACTTGCTTATGATTTTGATGATATTGTCCTATAATTTCCACAGTCTTTTGGATCACTATTTTTGGAATGTCAGCAAATAAGGATCTCTCCTAGTTGTTCAGGTGTCTTCTTCCAAATTTCTTGGTTTAGACTAGTGTGTATGTCCAAGGCGGCATTAATCTGTTATAATATATGAATTGGTATTCCATTAATTCCTGGGTTTGGTTTTAGTTTGTTTGAGTTTTGGGGTTTGTTTGGTTTTTTTCCTAATGTCTTCAGTGCAGTTTGAACTTCTTTATTCATTACTAGTTGTTCTTGATCATATGTTACATCATGAAATGGTTCACTGTGAACCAATTAATTTTGGTACAATGTCTCTGTGCGTTTCTTCCATCTTATTTTTGTTGTTTCCTGAATCATTTGATATTTTGCCAGTAGAATCTTTCAGTGTTGCCACACAAGGCCTGAATTTGTTTTTCCATTCTTTCAGCTGGAGAAATGTGGAAGTTGTTCTTCCCTTTTGGTTTTATAACTCCAGCTAACTTTGCAAGCAGAACTGTTCAGAAAGTATCTGATCAAGGACTAATAATAATAAAGGGAGAAGTTCAAGATTCTCTGGAGACATTGGCAAAAACTAGGCACCTGAGATTGATGAATTATCAATTGACATATTTCAACAGATGTATACAGTCCTGAATGTTGTGCCAAGAAATCTGGAGGACAACAATCTGGCCAACTGACTGGAAGAGAACCATATTTATTCCCATTTGGGGGAAAATGGTGATCCAATAGAATGTGGAAATTATTTAACAATATCACATGCAAGCAAAATCTTGATAAATATTATCCAAAAATTACTAGAATAGGACATCTACAGAAAACTACGAGTAATGCAAACTGGGTTTAGAATAGGCAATAGGATATCATTGCAGGTGCCAAATGGATCTTGGTTGAAAGTGGAGAGTACAAGAAGGAAGTCTATTAATGTCTTATTGACTATGCAAAGTCATTTAACTCTGTTGATCACAACAAACTGTGACTAACATTAAGAAGAATGGAGATTCCAGAACACTTGACTGTGCTCATGAGAAACCTATACTTAGAACTAGAAGCAACATCAGAGCAGATCAAGGTTTAAAATTAAGAAAGGAGTGCATCAGCGATGTATCCTTTTTTCATAACTTTTCAATCTATATGCTGAACATTCAAGAGACTGTGGCATCTGGATTGGAAGAAGACTTATTAAAAAGCTGTGTTGTGTTGATAACACAACCTTGCTTGCCAAAACTAAGGAGGACTTTATATGCTTGCTACAGAAGATCAAGGACTGCAGTCTATAATATGGATTGCATCTCAACACCAAGAAAGCAAAGATCCTCACCATATGACTAATACTTAGTATCATGGTAGATGGAGAAAAGATAGAGGTTGTTGACTCAGGAAGTGCTAGTACCTTGAACTAGTACAGTGTCTTTAGTAATAATTCTGATCCCCATTTCCTTCTTACTCAATTTACTACTTTGTTCCAGACTAATTTAACTAAAAACATCCCATAAAGGCTTTATATATACAATCTTCTGTCTGTCTGTCTGTCTATCTATCTATCTATCTATCTATCTATCTATCTATCTATCTATCTATCTATCTATCTATGTTGTTGTTGCTGTTATATGCTGTTGAGTTGCCTACAACTAATAGCGATCCTATGTATAACAGCACTACACCCTGCTCTATCCTATGCCAATCTCAATGTCTCTGACACACTCACTCAATCCAACTATCCCAGTCACTGACAATTCACCTCATAGAGGGTCTTCCTCTCCTGTGCTGTCCCTCCACCCTCCCAAGCATGACATGCTTCTCCAAGGATTGGTCCCTCCTTGCAACATATGCTAAGTATGTCAGACTAAGCTTCAGAATCATTGCCTCCAAGAAGCAGCCTGGTTTAACCCTCTCTAGGATGAACTTGCTAGTTTTCTTAGCAATCCATGGTACATTCATACTCTTCTCCAACAACACATGTCAAAGGCATCAATTCTCCTTCTAGCATGCCTAGTCATTTTCCAGCTCTCTGATGTATGGCAAGTGATTGCAAAGACCATGGCCTGTATCAGGCATACCTTTGTCTCCAGAGTGACACCACTGTTCTTCAGTACTTTGGAGAGGTCCCTAACAGCAAACTTTCCCATCGCAATATACCTTTTAATTTCCTGGCTGCTGGTGCCAAGAGTGTTGACTGTGGAGCCAAGCAAACTGAAGCTGTGAACAATCTCAATCTCTTCACCATTCATCCTGATGCTGCCAATTGACCCAGTGGGGAGAATCTTTGTTTTCTTAATATTAAGATATATCTCTATCTCTATATCTATCCATCTATCATATAAGTAAAAAACCTCACTTGTAACATATTATAAATGGTATAGCATTAAAGGAGAGATAAGGAAACTTGAAGCAAACGTTTATGTTTCATGAATACTATGGCACAAGATTCTAGACCACTTGCATTTAGTATCTTTAGAGGTTTTTAATGATTTCTTTTTAAAATTATTTCTATACTAGTTTATTTACAAAATTCAAAGACATTGTTTTTCAGACCAAATTCTACCAATTTCCCTCACCCTCACCCATCAAATTGTACAACCCCATGATTAATCCCTCCCTGTGCACATCCTCATCCCTCTTCTTCTACCCCGTCCCCTTGGATCTATTTTCATATTCATTCTACAGTAATTGTTTTGTACAACATTTATCCTTTGGGACTGCGTTAGGTCACTCAGTATCATGCTCTGCAGTCCTTCCCAAGATAATCATTTATAAAATCATTGCTCCTGCATGCTGTGTAGGATTCCACTGTATGAATGTATCATAGTTTCTCAATTCATCTGATTGTGGTTAGACTTCTGGCCTGTTTCTATGCTTTCCTGATAGTGAGTAATGCTGCTATAAACATTGGTATACAAGTCTCCATCTGTGCCTCACTTCTCATTTTCTCTGTATATTTCAAGCAGTGGAATAGTTAGGTCATATGGAATTTCTATGTTCAGTTTTTTGAGGAAAAGCTAAACTGCCTTCCAGAATTGTTGTACCATTTTACAATCCCACCAACAATGTATAAGAGTTCTTATCTTGCCATGTCGTCTCAAACATTTATTACTTGCTGTCCTGTTAAAATTTGCCACTATTACTGGAGTGAGATGGTATGTCATTGTGGTTTTGATTTGCATCTCTCTTATTGCCAGTGATTTTTGAGCATTTCTTCATGTGTCTGTTGGCCATTTGAATATCTCCCTCTGTGAAAATTCCTTCCATGTCTTTTGCCCATTTTTAAATTGGGTTATCAGTATTTTTCTTCTGGAGGCCCCCTGTAGGATCCTGTAAACTTTAATTTTAAGTCCCCTTGTCTAAGACGGCATTGCTAAATGTTTGCTCCCAGCCAGCAGATTTTCTTTTTTCTTATTATTACTCCAACTGTTTGAGAGGACATTATAGTGAGTGAAACAAGTCAGTCTCAAAAAACAAATACTATATAAGACTTATAAAAAGCTAATTACAGGTTTACATACAGAGTTAATTGATGTAAGATGGTTATCGGAAAAGTAAACAGGAAAACAGAAGATTGTTAAAGGACAAAGAACACTTATTTTGATAGGTGAAGGAAAAGATGATGAGGAATGTGTGGCTGGCCAGATATTGTGTATATGTAATTAATGTTATAGAATAAAATATACATGAATGAGTTATTGCTCAAGTATGATCTGAAAACTTTCTCTCAAATCACAGTAGAAAATATTTTAAAATTATAGATGTCCAAAAAGAGTAAAGAGTAAAGGAGACAGAAAGGGAGGAAGGATGGAAATCATTGGTATAATAGAGTTTAGTGCATAGATGCAGGTGAAAGAACAGGAAAGATTTAATGGGGAGCTCAACGGGAGGGATAATAATGAGCATGTATCAATAGTAATTGATAACATGGGCTGTAGTGTGTGTGACTGATTATATGAAACACAGTACAGATGGATGATTCTATAGAACACAGCGTGCGAAGTGAAACACAATGTAAATAAATTTAAAAAATGTAAAATTATGGGGAGGGGGAGAACCCAATAAAAATGGTATCCATTAGCTACATGTGAATTTTTAAATTTATTTTTGTTCTATTTTTCCTTTCTTCATGTGTAAATACTCTTTTCCTTTTCTTTTCAACCAGCCACAAGCTTACAAACACAGATTTTTGTGCATCCTCCAAATTTAAAAGGAATTACAGTGGAGTGTTATTCAATAGGCTGGTTTCCAGAGCCTCAAATGGAATGGAGAAATACCAAAGAAGAGATAATTCCACCTACATCAATATCCCACTCCCAGGATAGTGCCAAGTTGTTCAATATGAAGATGACTCTTCTCCTTACAGGTGACTTCCGTAGAGATATCACTTGCTGTCTTCAAAACCCAGTAACTGGTCAAAGAGAAAGAACAAGCATAATCCTATCAGGTAAGATCTATTTGCTCATTCTTCAAATGATTATCACTGTTATAAAATGTACAAATTAAAAGAAAAGTTAACGTACTTCATTTTTCCCTCAACGTTATTTTCTTGTGGTGTTACCTCTTATCATGATAGTATTCTTTCAGAGAATCTTTTGCTAGATCATTAAAATCACTTAGCTTTCTTAGAGTATCTTTTCCAGAATTTTTAAGTTATTCCTCTCTCTTACAACTTCATCCTGTCCTGGTGTTAAGTGCCATGAACCTGATGATGCTATATTGCTCTTGCAAGGTACTGCTGAGTCATACTATTTCCTCATGACTCTACGTAAAGCAGAACAAACACTACTCAATCCAGGTCCAGTCCCACAATTGTTGATATATTTGATCCCATTGCTGTTCCACTGTAACCACTTGTCTAAATTTTCAAAAGTATACTTTGAAAGAATTTGCCGACCCTCTACTTCATCAGGCATTGTGTCTTTCTCCAGGGACTTCTCCCTTTGGACATGTCCGAAGTACATCTTTGATTCTTAAGAGCTTTACATCTATATGGTTTCATTTCCAATGTGAGAGAGCAAACTAGGGTAGAGGTTTGGTCTCAAAGTCATGGCCTCTCTGTCACATGAATTGTTGTTGTTATGTACCATAGTTATGATATTCATAGTGATCCTGTGTACAACAACTCTGAAGCCTGCCCTGTCCTGAACCAGTCTCAGTGACTGCAACACACTTACCCTAATTGCCCCAGTTATTGTATCAATCCATCTCATCTGGAATCTTCCTCTTCTGCATTGTCCCTCCACCCTTCCAAGCATGATTTCCTTCTTCAAGGACCAGTAAATCCTGCTTACATGCCCCAAGTACGTGAGATTGAGCTTCAAAATCCTAGCCTCCAAAGAGAAACTTGGTTTCATCCTCTCCAAAATGGACCTATTTGTTTTCTTGGCAGTCCATGGTATGTTTAAGAATCTTCTCTAGCATCATAACTCAAAGGCATTAATTCTTCTATCATCCATAGTCATTGTTCAGTTCTCTGATGCATAACAAGTAATTGTAAAGACCATGGTCTGGATCAGTCCTACCTTAGTCTCTAGAGTGACATCATTGTTTTTCAGTATGCTGGAGAGAAGGTCCATGACAGCAAATTTTCCCAGTGTGATTCGTCTTTTGATTTCCTGACAGCTGGTGCCAAGAAAATTGACTGTGGAGCTGAGAAAGCTGAAATTGTTAACAATCTCAATCTCTTCTCCATCTATCATGATGCTACCCATTGACGCAGTGCTAAGAAACTGTCTTTTTGATGGCAAACTTCAATCTATATTGAAGACTAGAGTCCTTGACCTTCTGCAGCAAGAGCCTTAGGTCCTCCTCAGATTCATCAAGCAAGATTGTGTCATCTACATAACATAGGTTGTTTATGAGTCTTTCTCAAATCCTGATGCCACATTCCTCTTCATAGAGCCCAGTCTTCCAGATGATCTGTTCTGAGTATAGAATAAAAAGGAATGGAGACAGGATACATCCCTGACACACTCTTTTCCTGATTTTGAACTATGCAGTGTTTCCTTACTCTGTTCTTTCACATAAGAATAATCAAGTGTTCATGCATGAATATAGTAATTGTTTAATTGAGTTGATACCACATCTGATATATCTAAAATTATGAGTAGCAGAACAACTCTTGGTTGTCTTAATGGCAGTCTCTTAAAATAAATTTGCTTGTAAAAATTATTTGTATAGGAGTTTGGAACATAATACTATATTTTAGGTAACATGAAATTTTTTCCTCCTCTGGAGTAGAATACATAGAATTTTTTGAATAAAGTAGCTTAAGTGCTTTTTAATGCAAATAGGAGAGGAAGAAGGTCTGTATAAATGTGTGTCTCTAAATCAAGGCACAGAATTCCGGACTTCAATATGGATTGAAGCTCAACATGAAGAAAACAAAGACAGCATCAGGTATGCATCCTATCTCCATACCTTTTCAATCTATATGAGAACATCCTATCTCCATACCTTTTCAATCTATATGAGAACATCCTATCTCCATACCTTTTCAATCTATATGAGAAACAGATAGATCATCCGGGAGGCTGGACTTTGAGAAGGAATGTGGCATCAGAATTGGATAACCTGCATCAATAACCTGCATTATGCAGATGACATAACTTTGCTTCCTAAAACTGAGAAAGACAGCAGCATTTGCTGCAGAAGGTCAAGGACTATAGTCTCCACCGAAGCTCAACATCAAGAAAAACATCCTCACCACTGAAGTCAATTGGCAGTGCCATGATAGATGGGAAATAGATGGAGATTGTTGATAATTTCTGCTTGCATGAGTCCACAATAAATACCCTTGGCACCAGCAGTCAGGAAATCAGAAGACAAATTGCATTGGGTTAATCTGCTGTCAGAGACCTCTCCAATGTGTTAAAAAGCAACGATGTCAGTCTGGAGACTAAGGTGTGCCTAAGAGCTAGACAATGAAAAAGAATGATAGAAGGAGGATTGATGCCTTTGTGGTACTGGAGAAAAGAACATGCCAGGGACTGCCAAGAAAACAAGTAGGTCTGTTCTGGAGAGGGTGAAATAAAGATACTCCCTGGATGCAAGAATCCTAAACCTCTGTTTCACAAACTTTGGGCATGTTGCTAAAATGGAGCAGTTTTTGTTACTTTTTTGTTATTATTTTATTTTTTTGTGTGCATGTACTGCCAAATCAGATCTGACTGGTACAAGAGGAGATTGTCCCTCCTTCCCCAGGAGAGAATCTGGTGGATTCAAACTGTGTACCTCTAGGATTGCAGTGCAGATTTTTGCCACTAGGCCACCAGAGCTCCCTTAAAAGGGACCAGTCTTTGGAGAAAGATGTCATGCTTGAAAGGGTGGAAGGACAGCTCAGTAGAGGAAGACCCTGGATGAGATAGATTGACACAGTAATTGGGGTGAGAGAGCAAGTGTGTTGAAGACAGTGAGAGTGGCTTAGGATAGGACAAGCTATTGTGCATAGGGTCAATATGGGTCATGGTCAACAGCAAATCAAGGAGAATAATTATAGACTCAGGTCTTTGGAGGTCAAGATTCTATGTACACTGAGTTTAGACAAACTGAAGGAATTTTGAAACTGATCTTGTAGCCCCTAGAACCTGTATCTCACACTTGGTGAGAAGAATCTAGCTGTCTCTTCTCTTTAGCTTGGGAAAATCAACAGAATGCATGAGGTGGTTTGGAGAGGAATATCTGCTCTCATTTTGTTCCAGTCTATAAATCCCAATAAACCTGGACTCACTTAGGACACCTTCCTTTTGCCTACTTAATTATAATTTCCTCCCCAGGTTGACTTAGGCCTGAGATTCCAGGGTGGTGGGGGTCTGAAAAGAATCATGCTTTGGTCGAATCATCATTTATGGCTGGATGAGTGTAAACATACTCAATCTCCCAAGTGGTAACTTTTTGTAACTATTCATTTTAGGTATACTATTTCCTTGGAATATTACTTGGATAATGATTCTAACTATGGGTCTGACTGCGCTGCTATTCTTTATCCTGGTTCCCAGTTTGGATCTACATTTAAAACAACAAGGTAAGATTATGTGAGTGGTAAGAGAAGCAAAGAAAGAGTCGTGAAAACTTCATAAACTTTGATTCTGAAGTTGTTTGCCATGATAGAAAGTTCTAAAGTCTTAAGGTATACAATAAATAAATCCAGCATGTTTCTTAGTTCCAAATCTTTTCTCTTGCTGTCAGGACTGTGGACACTTCAGGTGCCTCTTCTTTAACTAGAGGGGTTTTTGTTTGTTTGCTTGCTTGCTTGTTTTTTGTTGTGGTTTTTTTTCGTTGTTGTTGTTTCTCATCAAATTTTTAAAAAATTAATTTCGGTGAACATCTACAGAGATTTTGGAATTCCATTCATTCATTATTACACTTTTCTCCCCGCCCACGCCACCCCCACCCCTAGTTCGCTCCTCTCCTTGAAAAGCAAAACTCCTTCATTGGTACACAATATCCCCGTACCCCCCACCCCAACACCACCCCAAGTATATTCTACTCTATAACCCTCATTCCGGACTCTTATGATAATCATAATGCCCTAAAATATATACTTTTAAACTATTCTCTCCCTCATTGGCTTCAATGCAGTAAACATAATTTATCCAGTTTTTCTCAGTCTTACTCCCACCCCGATGTCAGCCCCATTCTACAACAGTGGCACCATATCATATTTACCCTTTTGTAACTGAGATATATCACTCAGCATAATGTCCTCCAGGGTCACCCATTTTGAAACATACTACATGAGTTCCTTGTTTTTCAATGCAGCATAGTATTCCATTGTGTGAATATACCACAGCTTCTCTATCCATTCATTTGTTGATGGGCACTTAG